GATTCATGCTCAGACTCCTATTCCCAAAGTGTCACTGATCAGAGATCCCGAGGTTGTATAGAAGTAAACAGGACAGTTAAGTAGACGGAGGTTCAGATTTTGTCGTTACCACTTGTTACCCGTGAGACCTTGAAGAAACTGCTTTGAGCTTCAGTTTTATTAAAGCAAAATGGGGATAAAGAGCTGGGGATGCAGCTCGGTTGGTACAGTGCTTGCCTGGCACGCACAATGCCCTGGATTTGGTCCCCAGCACCCCATCATAAACCTGGTGTGGAGGCTCATGTCTGTCATCCAACACTTGGGAGATAGGAAGAATGGAAGTTTGAGATCATCCCCAGCTCCATAGTTTGAGATCAGCCTGGGATACAGGAGACCTGTCTCAACAAAGGATGTGGTACAACAGCCTCCATAATATTCCTTCTATCTTTGGAGTGTATTTGCGTGTAGGGGAGTGGCAGTGCATGTGTGCGCATGAATGTCGGAACCCGAGGACAACCTTAGGTGGTGTTCTTTAGGTGGTGTCCACAGTTTTTTTTTTTTTTCTATGACAGAGTATTTCACTGGCCTAGAACTTGCCAAGTAGACTAAGGTGGTTGGCCAACTAGCTCCACGGACCTACCTGTCCCCCTGTTCCAGCATTGGGGTTACAAGAGCACACCAACCTTCCCAGAGTTATTTTACAGGAATTCTGGGGATCAAACTCAGGTCCTCATATTTCCATATAATCACTTTGTGAACCAAACCATCTATCCAGCCCCTCTACATAACATTTTATTCTGTAGGGAAAATGTAAAAATTCATTATAAAGATATAAAACACAATGCTTAGAGCTGGTCATGGTGGTGCATGCCTTTAATCCCAACATTTAGGAGGCAGAGATAGCTTGATCTCTGTGAGTTCAAGGCCAGCCTGCCTGGTCTACAGAGTGAGATCCAGGATAGGCACGAAAACAACACAGAGAAACCTTGTCTTGAAGAAAAACAAAAACAAAAACAAAACCCAAAAAACAAATAAACAAACAAACACTCAAATAACCCAAGGTGCTCGGCACTTGAGTGAGAATTAATGAAGAGAGCTATAAGTAGTTAGTCCACATGGCTCGTCCTCTCAGACCAGAATGACTATCTACTATATAAAGGGAGTGTTGGGCCCCTAGCATATCAGTTTGAGAGACACCCATATCAGAAAGGGTTGGGCCTGACCTTGACTTTTGGATTTCTGGAACTACCTTTCCTTCAACAGATGAGAAGTCGGAGGCAAGATCAGCCCCAGGTCCCCTGGCTGACTCAAGCCCAGAAGATATGACTCCTGTCCTGGAGGACTCCTTGTCCCAGGAGGTGCAGGATTCCTTCTCCTTCCTAGAGGACTTGAGCAGCTCAGAGCCTGAGTGGGTGGGGGTGGAGGACCGGGAGGTGGCCAAGGCAGGAGCAGCAGGAGCCGCAGGAGCAGCAGCTTTCTCCCTTGGGGAGGACGACCCTGGGATGGGCTACCTGGAGGAGCTCCTGGGAGTTGGGCCTCAGGTAAGGAGGAGCCATGTTGGGTATTCGGGTAGTGTGTAGCCTAGAGAGTGGATAGGGCTACCTGGTTCTTAGCCACAATGCTATGCCTACAGGTGGAAGAGTTCTCCGTGGAGCCGCCCCTGGATGATCTGTCTCTGGATGATGCACAGTACGTCTTGGCTCCTAGCTGCTGTTCCCCTGATTCTGCTGGCCCCACACCTGAAGTGGAAGAGGAAAATGGGGAAGAAGTCTTCTTGAGTGCCTATGATGACTTGAGTCCCCTTCTGGGGCCTCGACCCATGAACTGGGAGGGTGTAGGGAGTCTGGAGGAAGAGGCAACAAGGTGTGGGAAACAACCTCCAAACCAGGCTGAAGAAAAACAGGAATGCTGGGAAGCCGAAGAGGACAAGGAGACTGAGCCTGGAGGCACATCGGATAACAGGGAAGATGCTGAGGCAATTCCAGAGACTGAGATGGAAGCTGGAAAAGCTGATGAGGAAGGAGGGGAGGCTCAAAGAAGCCAAATGGTGATGGGTAGTTTTGAAGAAGGGAGTAGTGAAGAGATAGAGACCAAGGAAGAAAATTCCAAAGGTCCAGAGGTTTCAAGTATAGAGACTGAGGATATGGAGAAAACAAGAGAAGAGGATAAAGACAAGAAGGAGGGAGAGATTGGGAGAAAAGAAGGGGCTGAGAAAGGAGAGGACATCCCAGTAGACTCTGGGATGGATCCAGAGCATTCAGTCCAGGAGTACCTGCTTCCTGGGGAGAGCTGGGAAGTTGTACACAAACAAGAGGTTGAGAAAGACAAAAGGGATGAGATCAAAGGACTGAGGGGAAATAGTGACCTCAAGTCAGGAGAAGATCAAGGACATGGTGAAGATAGTGTAAGTCCAGAAGGAGATGCTGATGGGGAGGAAGGGGAGGTCAGCAAGGAACCGAAAAGCATAGATGTAGAAACTGAAGGCAGGAGAGCTGTTAGTGATCACTTAGAAGAGGCGGCCCTCTCTCAAGGGCCAGGTATATCGTTCCTGGAGACTGACAGTACAGAAGAAGTCAATGAACAGTCTTCTAAGGTGGAACAAGGCCCTCCACAGCCACCTGAGCCAGAGGGGATGGAGGCTGAGGGACAGCTCAGTCCTGAGGGATGTGACCTGTCTTCATGTCCCTGTGGTTCAACTGGTGGTGTGGGCATGCGTCTGGCTTCCAGCCTAGTTCAGGTCCAACAGGTCCGCTCTGTTCCTGTCGTGCCCCCAAAGCCACAGTTTGCCAAGCTGCCCAGTGCGATGTGTGGTAAGATCCACGTGTCACCCGCAAGCCCATGTCCGAGACCCGGTAGGCTTGATGGGACTCCTGGAGAAAGGGCTTGGGCATCTCGGGCTTCTTGGAGGAATGGGGGTAGTCTTTCCTTTGATGCTGCTGTGGCCCTGGCCCGGGAACGCCAGAAGGCTGAGGCTCAGGAAGTTCGGCGCACCCAGACTTGTACGGGGGGTGGGGATTATAGCTTCCACTCCAGAACCTCTCCTTGTAGCATGATTCCTGCCCATTCTTCCCGGCCCTTTAGCTGCCTGGAACTCCCACCTGAAGACAGAGAAGGGTCTGAGCCCAGAAGTCGGCTTAGTCTGCCCCCTAGAGAGCTTCACCCCACTGTCCCTCTAATGTCCCCTCAGCGCCAGACATACGCATTTGAAACACAGACTAACCGTGGGAAAGAAGGGCTGTGATGAGGGCGGGACAAGACGCCCAGAAAACTATCAATCTCTGCAGCCCCTGCCTGCTGTCTTTGCACCCTCAGTAGCCCAAGTGCCATAGGCCTGGGTCCTCCGGCGACTTGTTTTGACCACGGGGCTAACAGCCTTGGTGGGCTTACTTGAGTTTGTGTTAGACACAAAGCATTTGTCTCTTAGCAGAGTCTTAAGAAGTATGGGAAAGTCTTGTTCCCATGAAGTTGTGAGTATTAACCAAAACATAGAGTAGATAGAAACTCATTTTTTCTTCCCTTAAATTTAAATACAGAGGGGGAATTCCAGCCAAACTCCTGCCCCCTTCTGAGGCTGTGAACTTCTCTCCAGAGAAGCCTAGGGTAGACGTGGAGAACACAGGGTCAGATACAGAATTGTTCACCCGTGTTTTGTTTCCAGATCCTCGGCTATCTCCTGACTCTTTTAGCTCTAGATTAGGAGAAACATGTCCAGGAAGTTCTTTAAAGTCCTCACTGTTCACTGAAGGAAATGGATAACATCCTCTGCCTTCGATTATTTTGCAGAAGAGGTCCTGTACAGATCTCTCTGGCCTTTCTTTTTCCCATCAACAATAACCTCCTCCCATTTCAGGAAAAGGGAATGTCTGGTCATCACTCTGGCCCTGGTACTGTTTCTTTGCACAGGCAGGGGCTACAGGCCCCCATTTAGTGATGGTGGCTGTTTGATAATAAAAGTTGAATTTTTTACACTTAAACAGTGTATGGACTTATGCTTATTAAAGCCTGGGGGAAAGGCATCCCATTTGAATGTTGCCAAAATGTCTATCTCTTGTTTAGATACTCTTCCTCAGTTGTCATGGAAACCTGCGGTTAGAAAGTAGAACTAGGTTCGTGGTGGTCAAGAAATGGGGAAGAGAAACCTGTATTTACATAATGTTCATCTCATGCCAGGAATTGGGCTAGATTTGTGTGCATAAAAACTTTGCCCTTGGATTTATTTAATCCACTTCATTTGGTGAAGCTGGTATTAGCATTTCCATTTTACAGATGAGGATATTAAGCTGTAATTAAGTAAAAATGCTTATCAGAGATCTCAGAGTTAAGAAGTGGCAGTTTCCGGTGGCACATGCCTTTAACCCTAGCACTCAGGAGGCAGAGGCTGGGGGGTCTAAGCGACATAGAGGACAGCCTGGTCAATACAGGACAGTTCAGAACTACATAGAGAGCCTATTCAAAAAAGAAAAAGAAAGGAAAAAAAAGTGTCAGTTGTGGATTTAAGATGGGGCTCTGAATGGTTTCAGAATCTGAATTCTAGCTACTATACTTGACTATTCCCTGAGTGAGAAAAACGGTCATCAAAGTTGTCACATACGAGCCTCAGAAAAACTGGAAGCTATTAAGTCTTTGGGGATTGCTGACGCTCGTTCAAAGGAATATACCCAGATCTACATATGCCCAGAAATGTCCCAATGTTCACTTGGAACCCCTCAAAGTGATGCCCTGAACCAAGATGGCGTCCCAAATTGCCCTTGTTAAAGATGGCGCCGAGGAACGCCATTTCTCCCCTACTTCCTCTTAGTGGAACTAAAAAGGCTCCGCCTAGCCCCAAGCTGGAAGCACAATTTAGTCTTTTTTTTTTTTCTGGTTCTTGCTGAAAACAGCTAGAACGCCAGCGCCGTCCCCAAGGACACTGTTTCTCTTAGGGGCCGGTCAAACCTCCCACACCCACGTCTCCTTTAGCCCGCATCGAAGTTTGCAGCGAACGGAAACGGGGCTGGTCTGGGGCCATCAGTAGTCAGGGCGGGCCGAGGAGACACTTCCGCCCCTCACCAATATGGCCGCAGGCTGCGATTGCGCATGAGCAGCTGTCTATGGCGAGCCCTAGCTCCAAAGAGGGAGAACGCTGCCGGGGGAAATTGGCGACTAAAGCGGCCTGGGTCGGTGAGTGCGCAGGAGGCAGCTGGAATCTGGAGACGAGGTGGAGCGGCGAGGCGGGGCGGCTTGGGTTTGGCTTCCTTTCCTCGGGCCAGGCGACGCCTGGCCACCCAGCCTTTGTTTTGGGGGAGGGGGCCGCGCCGGGCTCTTTATCTCCTGCCCTGCTTTGTGGGCCGAGCTCGCTCCCCGCCCCGGGGTGCACACGTCCCACCCTCCCGCGGTGCCCTGCCTCGGGCTGCAGCTGCCAGCCGCAGGCCTGGGGAGGTCCCCGGCGTCCTTTCCTGTCTCCTCTGCAGAGCAGCTGGGGCGCGGGGCGAGCGGGGCTGGGCCGACGGGGTCACCGCGCGGGCTTCGGGGCTCGCGCCTGGTGGGTGCCCCGCTCCCCAAGCGCCTGCTACTGGTTGGTGGGCCTGCAGGGAGACGCCTCGATCTCAGGCAAGGTCCCGGCGCGTGAAGTCTTTCGGAACTTGATCCTTTTTTTTTTTTTTTTGCCTTTGCGTCCGTGCTTGGCGAGGGCGTTTGCTGGGCCCTCCTTTTGAGCGTGCAAACCACAACATCCTATGCTGATTTCCGTGTCACATATTCTTAATGCTCAGGAAACGCTTCCGGATGTACAACCAAGATTTGAGTAAGTAGCCAGACGCGGTGGCTGAGTGGCCTCAGAAGTTGCTCTGACAGCTGTGGGCTATACAGTTGCCTCCTGTGCCTCGCCTTCCCTTCATTGCCTCCTCCTGCAGGCCATGCAACAAGCTTCGGAGGGACTCTTCCTCCTGGCATTTGGGGATGGAGAGCTAGGTGGTCCCCAAGCGCTGTGGCTACCTCCCTTTGCAGCATTACTTTGGACGGGCAGTTTCACTTTCTGTTCCTTTTTGTTATTGTTGTTACGCGGGCTTTCCGAGGTTTATTATCCGCTAAACTTAAGATTTTCTTTGGATTAGAAAGGTTTTGGAGGATCTTTCGGGTAGAGAATTTACAAAAACCTTGCCCCTTTCTTGTTGAGATGATTTTATTGCTTTGTACTGGGCAGCTGTTTCTTTCGGGAGGCATCAGTCTGCTCAGTTCTTTGTTGTTCCGGTTCTCTGGCGGGGTGTCAAGAGTCCTAAGGCAGAAACATTGTAGATGGATTCCTCCCCCATTGTCTTTTCTCCTTCAGAATCCTGAGCCTGGATCCCGCCCCCCCCCCCTCCTCCTGAGGCTTAGTTGATGTGGAGTTGTCATGGCAACATTGTAGCAACTGTGTTTCTCTACAGGAAGCCTTGATGAATAAAATAAAGAAGCTTTGAAATGATGCGCTTGGGCTTTAGAGTTTGTAACAGATGCTGTAAATCTGGACTCCCCCAAAACAAGAGCCCTGACAGTAGAATGGTGCCCAAGAGCCAAATCTAGGTTTTGTGGTTAGTAATGGTTTTCCAGTGACAAAAAGACGTTCCAGTTTTTCCCTTTCTAGATTTGAGGACTGGAATTTTGTTGTTGTTTTATTTTATTTTGAGACAGTGTCTCTATTTGCAGAGCCTTGTCTGTCTTGGAACTCAGTATGTAGATCAGGCTAGCCTGGAACTCACAGAGATCCTCCTGAGTGCTTGGGATTAAAGGCGAGCACCAAAACGCCTGGTGAGGACTAGAATTTCTTTTTCTTTCTTCCGTTCGTTTTTCATTTTGTTTTTTGGTTTTTTCGAGACAGGGTTTCTCTGTGTAGTTTTGTGCCTTTCCTGGATCTCGCTCTCTGTAGACCAGGCTGGCCTCGAACTTACAAAGATCTGCCTGCCTCTGCCTCCCGAGTGCTGGGATTAAAGGCCTGCACCACCACTGCTCGGCGTTCGTTCAGTTTTTCAAGACAGGGTTTCGCTGTGTAGTCCTGGCTGTCCTGGAACTCGGTAGACCAGGCTGGCCTTTAACTCAGAGATCTATTTGCCTGCCTCTGCCTCCCAAATGCTGGAATTAAAGATGCGCATCACCACTGCCTGGCTTACAATTTCTTATTGTACAGTTTGTGTCTAAGAAGCTGGAAGAAGCATCAGGGACCATAGTGGGTGTTATTTAATAGTGGTGGTCTAAACATGGCCCTAGCTATTCCTATGAAAATGCTGTTATAGCAGAGTATAATAGCTTTAGTAATAATCCATAATTGCTTCAATACTGTACCTTGAAATACATTATTTCTCAGCCTTCCAGTATAATTATCTCCTTCCCCTCTTGGAATGAATTGGGAGGAGCAGCAGGTGCATGTCTTTAATCTTAGAACTCAGGGAGGCAGAGACAGGAAGGACCTCTGTGAGTTGGAGGCCAGCCGGGTCTACAGCGTGAGTTCCAGAACATCCAGCGCTACACATTGAAGCACAGTCTTAACCAAAACCAAAGGGGGTGGGGGGAAGGAGCAAAGAACATTATTTAAAAATTTGCTTTAAAAGAAAAGTCATGGTGTGTGCGTGTGCACACATGTGTGTGGGCTATGGAGGTCAGAGGACAGCTTTCAAGAGTTGGCTTTCTCGCTCTCTTTTGGTTTTTTGAGAAAAGGTTTCTCTGTAGTTCTAGATTGTAGCAGACTTTCTTTGACTGCCAGCCCCCAAATCATACACAGAAATTTAATACTAGTTATGAATGTTCGGCCTTATGCTTATTTTCATTTGTTTGTTGTTTTGGGTTTTTTTTTTAAGCATAAATATTTATTTGTAAAAAAGGAGTTTGTATACAGCGTAGAAAATCTACAACTTTTATTAAATTCACATTTGCACTTCACCTTTTTAAAAACATAATCATTTTATACAGATATAGATATGTAAATACAACATCAAGTTCAGTGGTCCTTCAGCATTTCCCACTTAAAATTTTTTTTTTATTTATAACATAAAAACAGGTTGTAGCTGGGCGGTAGTGGCGCTCGCCTTTAATCCCACCACTCAGGAGGCAGAGCCAGGTGGATCTCGGTGAGTTCGAGGCCAGCCTGGGCTACCAAGTGAGTTCCAGGAAAAGGCACAAAGCTACAAAGAGAAACCCTGTCTCGAAAAACAAAACAACAAAACAGGTTGTAATTCCAAAGTCCAGAGTTATTTGAAACTGGAAAATATTTTCTCTGTAGAAAATAGTAAAAATGATACCATTTCCCAATAAGCCTTTTTAAGCCAAATATTAGCTGAATTATACATCTTGTGCTTGTTTTTACTTTTTATTTATTTTATGTGTTTTTTTGGCCTTGGGGCTGTTTTTTTCAAGACAGGGTTCCTCTGTGCAGTTTTGGTGTCTGTCCTGGATCTCAATCTGTAGACTAGGCTGGCCTTGAGCTCACAGAGATCCGCCTGGCTCTGCCTCCCAAGTGCTGGGATTAAAGGCCTTGCCCACCACTGCCTGGTACATCATGTATCTTGATCCATTCATTTCCCCATCCCTTCGAATCTGTCCTCTAACCCTGCATCCCTCCCCAAATAAAACAAAATTTAAGAGAAAAAGGTGGGGGGTAAAAATCTCATGGAGGCTGCAGTGTGACACAGTGAGTCACGCAGTAAACCCCTTTGTCGGTGTATCTTGCAAGTGTTCATTGCTAAGAGTCATTGGTCTGGTTCGAGGCCTCTGGTTTCTACTACACTGTGGATGCTGGTCCCTCACTGGGACTCCTCCTGGTTATCCTGTTGTTGCCCCTGTGTCCTGGAGATCCTGCAGCTTTGGGTCTACAGGTCAGGTCCCTCCTTCATGTGCTCCAGCAGATCATAGATGGGGTGGATGTTGGGGCTTATGCTTGTTTCTTGTCAGTTCTCATAACTTATACTAACCGGTCTCTCTTCATCTACATTTTGCCTTGGGGCCTTTTACTTTACTTTCTTTCATTCTGTTTCCTCTTTGTCTGGCTGGCTGTTGTGTGCCTGGATTCTGGCCCTGGGGATGTGCCTCTCTCCCTCATTCTCTTCTGTCTTTCCTCTTCTCCAAGCCTAAATTTCTCCTCCTATTACTCTCTCTGCCTGCCAGCCCTGCCTATCCCTCTACTGCCTAGCTATTGGCTGTTCAGCTTTTTATTAGACCAAGCAGGTGCCTTAGCAGGCAACACATCTTTACATAATTAAACAAATGCAACACAAACAAATGTAACACACCTTTACCTAGTTAAAGTGATCTTCCATATCGCTCTCCCTGTAGACCAGGCTGGCCTTGAACTCACAGAAATCCCGCCTGCCTTTACCTCCCCAGTGCACTGCTGCTGCCCAGCTTGCTGAGCCACCTTAGCAACCTGATTTTTCTCTTTTGTTCTGAGGACACCTTGGGGTGTCGGTCCTGGACTTGCCATCCAGCTTCCAGAGATCCTCTTATGTCTACTGCTCATCTCTCCATCGAGGTGCACTTTGACTTAGAGATGCTCTCACTGCTGCATCCCTTTCTCATGTGGGTTTTAGAATTCAAGTGTTAGGCTTCCATCCAAGTGCTTTTACCCCTGAGCTGTCTCCCCACTTTATGGTGTGTGTTTGTTTTTGTTTTTGAGACAAGTTCTTGTAGCCCATCCTGGTCTAAGACTTGCTTTGAAACCCAGGATGACCTTAAATCCCTAATTCTTTTGCCTCTATCTCCTAAGTATTGGGATTACAGGTATGGGCAAGCACACCTGTTTTTTTTTTTCTCTTTAAGATCTCATTCTGTAGCCAAAGCTAGCCTCAAACTTGCACCAATCCCCCATCTCATTCCCTTCAGTGTTAGGATTCCAGGAGTGAGCCACTGTGTCTCATGAGGAGTTGCTTTTCAATCACTGTAGGCCAGCCCTTGCCATCAGAACTGGGGAAGTTGACTGGCCTCTGCAGATAATTGGTTCATTTCCCTGCCTTTGTCTTCTTGGAGCCTAGGTTCCAGAACTTGGAAAGCTGCTCAGTTGCCTAGCCTCACTGTAAACTCTATAATTTCCACCAGGATTTAGCACTCAGGCTTTTGAGTCAGGAGATACGAAGACTTCCAAAAAAAGACCAGTTCCTCGGATGAGCCCCCTCACAGAGAGATGAAGGGGTAAGTGAAGAAGTGGAGTCTGGGAGGAGAGAGGGATGGCTTTGGAGAATGCAGAATGGCTAAGAGTATTAGATTCAGGCAGAACTGGATTTGGGTCCCCCAACTCCATCACTTACCAGCTCTGTGATTTGGTATCCTTATTTATAAAATAGCAGAGCACTATTGATTTCATGTGTTATCAGTGTCAAGGAAGTATGCCAGGTGGTGGTGATACACGCCTTTAATCTCAGCACTTTGGAGACAAAGGCAGACTGATCTCCTGAGTTTGAGGCCAGCCTGGAACAAGTACCATCCAGGACATCCAAGACGACACAGAGAAACCCTGTCTTGAAAAGCCAAAAAGAAAAAAAAGTGTTTATAGCCTGATGTCTATGTACATGGTAAACACTTAGTTTATTAGTTTTTTGTTTTGTTTTGTTTTTGACGCAGAATATATCTGCATAGCCCTGGCTGTCCTGGAACTCACTCTGTAGACCAGGTTGGCCTCAAAAATCAGAGATCTGCCTGCCTCTGCCTCCTGACTGCTGAGATTAAAGATGTGCACCCCCATGACTGGCAGCAACTGTCTGTCATTTCCTGGCAGTAAAATACTGCCATTGTCTGATCTAACCTAACCTGACATCTGTTGTGAGTGCCAGTGAGTTTGGGAACTGTGTACAAGTCATGAGCGTCTCACATCTCCCCTGTGTTTTTGTTTTTGTCTTACCTCAAATAGGCAGCAGAAGACAGCTGAAGCCGAAGAGGGAACAGTGCAGATCCAGGAAGGTGAATGTTCAAACCAAGACCAAGAGCCCGTCCCAGCCTCCCCGCCTCAGCTGGACCGGCCATCTTCTGTATACTGTGTGTCTTTAAACGACACGCAGGTAGACCAGGGAGAGAGGCAGGTGACTCACAGATCTTTCTGTGCCTCTTCTGATTTAGGTGCAGTGGCTACTGGAGAGGACCCAACTAGTGTAGCCATCGCCAGCATCCAGTCAGCTGCTACTTTCCCCGACCCCAACGTCAAGTACGTCTTCCGAACTGAGAATGGGGGCCAGGTAAGGGAGGGGGCCAGGTGACTGCAGACGTTACCTGGGGTTGGGATCAAGGGAGGTGCCTGAACATATTTTGGGAAGCTGCAGCTGGGAGAATGAGATGAAAGTGTGTGTGATCGGGATGACATGTTAATAGGAGGCTAAGAGTAGAGATTGGTGTGGGGCTGGGAAAGAAAGGGCAAATAGCTGACTCTGTCTTTGAAGGACTCCTGGGACTCGATCCAGGAGGCCCTTTCTGAGAGGGCGTAGGATCCGTAGGATCTGGGCACTTAACTCTTGTCTTCTCTTCCCACCTCTCCCCCTTCTTCTTGCTTCCAGGTGATGTACAGGGTGATCCAGGTGTCTGAGGGGCAGCTGGATGGCCAGACAGAGGGCACCGGCGCCATCAGTGGCTACCCCGCCACTCAGTCTATGACCCAGGTACAGGGGATAGGCTGTGAGAGGGTGGGGAGGAGTCAGTAGGAAGGAGGGGTGGGATTAGGAACAGTGACCCCAAGCACTAGCTTCAGATGTAGTCAGCCTTTTGTCATTGAGATGACCCTGTCATCTACAGAGATCGTGCCCATGAGCCATGCATGCACATGCATTTGGGGCTGCGGAGATGGCTTAGCAGTTATGAGCACTCTTGGCTCTTACAAACTTACCTGAGTTCAGTTCTTAAATATCTACATGGTGGATCACAGCCATCTGGTTTCAGGGTATCAAATGGCCTCCTCTGGCCTCCTCAGGCAGTAGGCACACACACAGTGCACATAGATACATTCAGTCAAAATATACGTATAAAAATAAATCTAAAAAACCCCACACAATTGAATTAAAAAAAAAACAGATCGTATTTGAAGTTAGTTTAATTTTGTGTCAGGGTTGCATTTGTCGCTATCTTTGAAGGCTTTCTGTGTTTTTCCTTCCTTCTGGTAGGGATAGCAACTTCAGGGTGATAGCGTAGAACTGTGTCCCTGCCTGACTGGACTCCGCTCGTTTCCCTCCTCAGGCAGTGATCCAGGGTGCTTTCACCAGTGACGATGCAGTTGACGCGGAGGGGACAGCGGCTGAAACACATTATACTTACTTCCCCAGCACCGCAGTGGGAGATGGGTCAGGGGGTACCACATCTGGAAGCACAACTGCTGTTGTTACCACCCAGGGCTCAGAGGCACTGCTGGGGCAGGCCACGCCTCCCAGTACCGGTGAGATGCTGTACAAAGGATGGGCTAGTGGGGCTGGGCTGTGGGACATGGCTGGGGTTGGGAGCTCTGGGCCTTAGCACTTGACGTTCAGTCATTATTGAGATCAGCGTTGCTGGGCAGTGGTGGTGAATGCCTTTAATCCGGGCGGTGCTGGCACAGACCTTTAATTCCAGCACTCAGGAGGCAGAGGCAGGCTGTTCTCGAGTTTGAGGCCATCCTGGTCTACAGAGTGAGTTCCAGGACAGCCAAGGCTTCACAGAAAAACCATGTCTGAACCTCTCCCATTCCCCCCTCCAAAAAAAATGAGGGCATTATAGTGAACCTAAGCTAAGCTGCTTTACCAGCAGATGGGAACATATTCTCAAAAGGGTCCCAAGGTCTGGGTGAGGTTCCTAGTCCCAGGTCCTGACAAAAGCCTAACTCACATCTTCACAGGTCAGTTCTTTGTGATGATGTCACCACAAGAAGTATTGCAGGGAGGGAGCCAGCGTTCCATTGCCCCCAGGACCCACCCTTATTCCCCGTGAGTGACCTTATGTATTCTTAGTTATTTTGAGTGATTTTAATAGCTGCTAAATCTTGCGTAATCTTCACCCTAAAAAGTCTGGTTTTGCTTGTTTGTCTTTTCCTTGGTCTGATCACCCTGGACTCTACTGTCAGGAAGTCAGAGGCTCCCAGGACAACTCGAGATGAGAAACGCCGGGCTCAACATAATGAAGGTAGGGGGATAGCCAGGTGTGAAGCCAGGAGCAGCCTCAGTAGATTTGTGGGATGTGTGAGGGCAGGAAGGGCTGGTCGTTCACTGAGTCCCTGTGTCCTCCACTTTGTCCCACAGTGGAGCGGCGCCGACGGGACAAGATCAACAACTGGATTGTGCAGCTGTCCAAAATCATCCCAGACTGCTCCATGGAGAGCACCAAGTCTGGCCAGGTCATGGAAAGACCCTGGTAGCGGGGAGGAGGCTGGAGTTCTGTCTCCTGGGATTGTTTTCAGAAATGGTGGCCGTCCTTTTCTCATAATACTCTCTGAGATGTTGTCTCACCGTTGGGGGGGTGGGGGGGGGCACGACAATCCCAAAGTGTGAGTTTGCTCTTGGGAAGCAAGCAGGGTGTTTTAAGCCTTTGTCCTCATTTGTTGACTTTGCCTTGCAGAGTAAAGGTGGAATCCTATCCAAAGCCTGTGATTATATCCAGGAGCTGCGGCAGAGCAACCACCGGTTGTCTGAAGAACTGCAGGGGTTGGATCAGCTGCAGCTAGACAATGATGTGCTTCGACAACAGGTCAGACAAATGCCAGGACAGGCCCCCTCCGCCACCCTGTAGCCACTGACCCAGTTTGGATTACCTAGAAAACACTTCACATTGTCCTACTCAGCACTGGGTGTGTGACTACGTTTTTGGCTTAGCAGTATCGATTTTTTTTTTTTTTCTGCCATTTCCCTAATTGCCTCCTTTTCTGTGCAGGTGGAAGATCTTAAAAACAAGAACCTGCTACTACGAGCTCAGTTACGGCACCATGGCTTAGAGGTCGTCATCAAGAATGACAGCAACTAACTATGGGGGTTCGGGGGGCTTTGGGCCCTAGAACTGCAGATAGCCTGGGAGCAACAGGCTAATCCCATGCCCCTTTCCTTCACTGCCCACGTCTGGCATGGGACCGGGGCAGTTTGGCAAGCGTGACTTTGAACTGAGGCCCTGTGGTGTGTCGGTCTGCAGTGAGTGGTGTGAAACACAAAGTGGACGTTGTACTGACCGCCTTGCCCGCCCGCCCGCTCCCACCGTGTAGTCCCCGGGTCCTTGTGCTCCTTTTACACACTGCATGTGCTGTACCCGTGGACACTGGACACACCGAATCTGGGCTTGCCGTGTGCTTGCTTAGAGTGCCCAGCAGAGGGTCTGTGCACACTCTCTGGGTCCAGCACTTCCACTGGCTCTTCCTTTCCTGGAGCAGAAGTTAAGATGCGCACCTGATTACTCTGGGGAGCAGGCTTATTCAGGAAGTGGGGAAGGAGGCAAGGTGGCTGCTCTCCCGTGAATAGTAGAGGGGCCAGTGAGCAGCTGGGCCTCTGCAGAAGTCTCTGAAGCCAGGGAGGAAGAGAGGCAGGGGCTCACTGAGAGCCAGCCCCTTCTGGGGATGGTTCTTTTTATTTCTTTTCTTTTTCTTTTCTTTTCTTTTTTTTTTTTTAAAGATAAAATTGTTTAGACCCACAGTTGTCTGTTTTCCTTCTTTTATGGGGTTCTGGGGCAAGGGGAAGTGCATATTACCCTTTGACCAGTGAGGGCTGGGTTAACCTTTGGGTGGGTGTAACTATTCCTATACTGATTACCCAGAGTCCTGGCACCTGTGCCAGGCCTGGATGTCATTTCCGGCCTTACACTGCAGTCTTTAAAGGTTTCAACTGTGGACTGGGGTTAGAGTTATCACCAACAGGTGCTACTGGGGCGCTGCGTGGGTGCCAGCCAGGGGCCGCACTTTAATCCCAGTTCCGGTTTCCCTGGCTGGGCTCAGGGAGGGAGGGGAGATGCTTCGGGTTGCCTTCCTGCGTCTCCGTCACACAATTGCTGCTGCTGCTGCTGGCACCATGACTGGAGGTACCTGAGAAGGACGTGAGGGTATCTGGGATGTGGGGGTGAGGTTGTGTATGCTGGTCCCCGGGATAGAGTTGTTTGTGGAGAGAGGAACGTAGGGGCGTGGCTGCGGTCCTCACAAACACCTCCACCGGGTTGGGAAGCTTCCAGGGAGGGGGCACAGGCCACAGGTGTTTGGCGGTCCCCCAGCCTCAGTTCTTTTGTGTCCTCTTTCTCAGTGCCTACAGTCTCGTACTCTGAACTCCGATCACTCCTGGCCTCGGGCAGGACCCAGCTCATCGATGTTCGATCTCGGGAGGAGGCAGAAGCTGGTACCATCCCCGGGGCACTCAACATCCCTGGTACAGGATTTCTTGTGTTGGCAGAGGGACAGCCCATGATGGTCTTAGCTAACCCGGGGCCTCACTTAGGGTAGGGGCGATGCTGGTAGAGATAGCAGGGCCTTATATTGGCTCAAGCCAGCACTCGGGTTCCCTAGAGAAAAGCTGAATGGAGAATCCTGGCAGTGGAACTAGCTTATCCAGTTGGAGGGGATAGCAGGCAGCCAGAGGGGCGAGTCAGCAGCCTGATGGTGGATTCCCTGACCCACCTGATCCTCTACTGCCTCCTTAGGACTCAGAAAGTGGCTGCATTGTTGGCCTAACTTCCTACACGAGTAGGCTGTTCCTTGTCTTTGAGGTTGGTATGGGGTGGGGGATGGCCACCATATGTTTGAACAGTCTCTGCAGATTGGCCAGGACCCAGCTCTTTGAGGCCCATATTGTGAACCCCAAGGTGCCACTGGCTCCCCCATTTTGTCCTCTCTCAGTGTCTGAGCTGGAAACCGCCTTGACCATGGACCCAGCTGCTTTCCAAGCCTTGTACAGTGCTGAGAAGCCAAAGCTTGAAGACAAGAATCTTGTTTTCTTCTGTCAGCTGGGCAGGCGGGGCTCCCAGGCCACAGCGCTGGCACAGGGTCTTGGATACACAGGGTATGACGAGGTGGCGGCGGCGTTGTAAGGCTTGCCAGCTGGGAACTGACGGGGGCTGCCCCCTGGACCTGCTCTTCCATTGCTTTCTCTCCACAGGGCTCGACACTATGCTGGGGCCTATAAGGAATGGCTGGAGAAAGAGGGCTAGGTGGAAGCCTTAGTGGTTGTGACCCTTCCTCGTGACCACCTTGCTGGGTTGGGCAAGTCTCTGGGGCTTTGCACATGAGAAACTCAAATAAAGAACATTTCATTTGTCAGGTGGACAAAAAATGGTTCCAATAGCAATCTCATTCTCAGTGTTTATCTCGGGATCCTTGTCCATTGATCTGTTTCCTCCTCCCCAATTAAAGCAGTTTGTTGAACAACTGAAGTTGACCTAGGACGGCAGTTTCCAGCCCAGAATGCCTATCAGATAATCACCCAATAGCTTTACAAAATCTTGGAGCAGGGCTGGAGAGATGGTTCAAGGAGTTAAGAGCACTGGCTGCTCTTCCAGAAGACCCGGGTTCAATTCCCAGCACCCACATGGCAGCTCACGGCTGTCTGTGACTCCAGCTCTAGAGGATCTGACACCTTCACACCAATGCACATAAAGTTAAATTAAAAAAAAAAAAGATAGCGCAAATTAAAAAGACAAACAAAATCTTGGAGCTAGGTGTGTTCAGTTCCAGCTTCTTGGGAGGCTGAACCTAGGAGTTTAGTTCCTGGCCAGTCTGGGTAACACAGCAAGACTGAAGAGCCTGTTCTGGCCCAGGTGGTGGTGGTGCACGCCTTTAATCCCAGCTCTCAGGAGGCAAAGGCGAGCATCTGAGTTTGAGGCCAGCCTGGTCTACAGAGTGAGTTCCAGGACAACAAAATCAAAAGAGCACTTGTTCTTGCAGAGGACCTGTATTTGGTTCCCAGGCCCCACACGGATGGCAGCTCACAACCTAACCGTGTGTAAGTCTAGTTCCGGGGGCCTAATGGGCTCTTCTGACATCCTCGCCCACCAGGATTGCAAGGTGCAAATGCATACATGTAAGCAAGATAATCATATAAATCTTTTTTTTTTAAAAAGCCACTTTTTAGCTATGTGTGATAGAACATGTGGATAATCCAAGCACTTTGGAGGGGGAGGCAGGAGGATTAAAGATTTAATTAAGGCCAGCCTGAGCTACCTAGGAAAAAAGCTTGGGTGTGTGTGATTTTATGGGCTGCTCTGAGGTTTCCGATACACAGCTACAAACTGCTGTCATTACCTTCCCTTTATGTGTTGTCTGCAGCTACTGTTGTACCAAATTAGAAGAGCTGTAACAGTTGCATGCCTTTCAGAACCGCAAGTGGCCCTACCTAGTGGTCCTCTACAGAAAGTGCTTGCCCATTACTGCTCAAGATTTGCAGCTCTTCGGCCCCAGTTCCACCTTCCTCAGAGTCTGAACTGGGTTAAGGTAATGAAGTTAGTCCTATGGGCTGGTGGTCGGCTTAGTGGTAGAGTAATGGATATAAAGCTCTGAATTCAGCCGGGCGATGGTGGCTCACGCCTTTAATTCCAGCACTTGGGAGACAGCGACACAGGATCTCTGTGAGTTCAAGGCTAGCCTGGTCTACAGAGTGAGTTCCAGAACAGCCAGGGTGGCTTTGGTAAGCCCTGTTTCCAAAAAAACAACAACAAAAAAACAAACAAAAAAGACCCACCATAAAAAGCATTGGGGATGGGTAGGACACATGCTTATAGAAAGCTATTTGGGAGTTTGAGACAAGAGGTTCAAGGTTAAGTCACTATGGCAGGATAATCTTAAGAAAATAAATGCATTTAGGCCTGGACTGGTGGTGAAAGTCTAAGGTAGGAGGCTGAGAGGCAGGAGTATCACATTCAGGGTCTATGTTACAGACTTAAGTTCAAGGCCAGCCTAGTCAGTTTAGTGAGAAATTCAAAAAGGACTGGATAGAGAGCTCAGTGGGAGAGCACTTGCCTAGTATACCACCAATAAACGAATAAACCAATAAGTGTATATGTTAAAAAGAATTTACCAGCCAGGTATGGTGGCACACACCTTTAGTCGCAGCCCTGGGGAAGCAGAGACAGATCTCTGTGAGTTGGAGGCCAGCCTGATCTACATAATTTTCCAGAACAGCTGGAGCTCTGTAGAGAGACCTTGTCTCAAAAAACCCAAAACATCAACAAGGAACTTAACAGCAACTAGCAAATGCTTGCTGGAAAGTAGATATATAACTTCCCCTGGTGTGGTAAATCATTTGGATATTCTTTGAGATAATGAAATATCTTTGTGAGTGTGAATGTGTGTGTGTTACTTGTCTTAACTGCTTTCCATCTTTAGTTTTTGAGACAGTCTCTTACTGAACCAGAAACTTAGGGATTTGGCTAGGCATGTTGGTTGGCCAATGAGCTTCACCTGTCTTTGTCCCCCCAAGGGCTAGAGTTACAGGCACATGCCATCGCCCCTGGCTTTTTACATGGATTCTGGGGATTTGAATGCAGGTCCTCAGGATTTTGCAACAAGTCCTTTCCCCAGTTCTAATGAAAAAATATTTAGCCAGGTGTGGTGGAACACACCTGTAAACTGTGGGCAGAGGCAGAGGCAGTGGCATCAGGATTTCTTTAAGTGCTAGTCTGGGCTGGGCTATACTGAATTCTGGGCCAGCCTGGCTACATGATGAGTTCTCTGCAGCTATGGCAACACAGCAAGACCCTGTCTCAAAAGAAAAAAAAAAAAAAAGCTGCTGGTTGTGGTGGCAGCAAACCCCTTTAATTCCAGCACTGAGAGGAAGAGGAAGTTGGAACTACTGAGTTTGAGGCCAGCTTGGTCTGCATGGTGAGTTCTAAGTCAGCCAGGGCTACACAATGAGACACTAGCTGAAAAACAATTGAGAAGATGAACAAAAGGCTCACATACAGGCTGGTGAGACGGGCCACCAACTAAAGGCTCTTGCTGCCAAGCTTTAGGACTCATAAGGTGGAAAGACAGACCAACTCTGCAGGCTGACCTCACATGTGTGGCATGTGCCCGTATACAAACACCCAAATAAAGACAAATGCATTTTTATAAACCACATCAAGTATCCCTTGGGGCTGGAGAAATCGTTCAGCAATTAAGAGCACTGAGCACTGGCTCTTCTTCCAGAATACCTGGGTATGATTCCCAGCACCAACATGGAAGTTCATGACCATCTGCCACTCCAGTTCCAGGGCATCTGATGCTTTCCTCTGGCCTCCTCAGTCACCAGGCACACATGTAGTGGGCAGGCAAAACACCCATACACATAGAATGAAATTAAAATTAAATTGCAGGGCAGTGGTGGCACACACTAGACCAGCCTCGCCTACACAGTGATTCCAGGACAGCCAGAGATACACAGAGAAATCCTGTTGTGAAAGATAAAACAAGCCCCTCACCACACACACCCCACAAACACAAATGTATTCCTTTAGCCAGAAGAGCAGGCTGGTTCAGATGGGAACCCAATTTTCTGATTTTTTTTTCAAGTGTTTAAAACAATTTATCAGACATTTCCTGTTTTCTTTGCTTTTTTCGTTCCTTTTCCTCTGCTCTTCCACACACCAGCTTCAGGCACTGACCCAGTCTACGTTCTCCTGAGCTACAGGAGTTTAGCCAGACATCGTTGAGTTTTGTTTTTGTTTGCACATGCTC